ATTGAGACTTTTTGTCCATTTCTTTCGTTAGAAAGAATTAGTGGGCCACTTGTTAACATTTTTTTGGTATGTCAAGATTGTTCTACATAGTTTTATTTGAAGAAACACTTGACACTTTGGACTTTCCATTAATTGAGTATAGTGATGCAAAGCTTCCAAAACTCAATACTTTGAGTTCCCATTGCTATTAATTTTTAATTTACGAAGAATAATCCGTTTATTCTAAAAATTTTATATGTAAAGTTTGAGATACGCGTCAGCCCCTAAATATGGCAAACAAATCTCCTGAATCGATTGCCTATATTGATGCAAAGCTTCCAAAAATCAATGCTTTGATATTTCGTTACTATTAATTTTTAACGTACGAAGAATAATCCTTCTTGTTCGAAGATTTCCAAATATAAGATTTGGAATTTGCGTCAGCCCCTAAATATGGCGAACGGACCTTCTGCATCAATTGAGTATACTGATGCAATGCTCGTTTCCTTGACGACAGGTTGATTGTAGGTACCATAACTACGTTTCCGTTTTTCCACGAAGGTATTACCTTCGAACATTTATGTTGCGGTTGGACTTCCACTTCTGAACGACATTTTTAACGTTTACACGGCAATATCCATTTTCCAAGGTATAAAATGGCTCGTCAATTCGCGGTATCGATATCGAAACGTGTTTACCTTTCTGGCTCGTTTCTTCCTCGCCAAAAATGAACGAAATATTCTTTTGAATAAGAAACTGCTATCATTTTACGAACGAAGTCTTCAATATTTAAATAGTCGAAGCAATAATTTAAAATTCATCGATCTTCCGATCAGATTTCGTTTTCCAAAATACTTAAGTAAACGTTATGTTTATATTTCACATTTCGTGGAATATCAGGCGGTTTCATGAATCTTTTCTCAGTCAGCTATAGAATACATAATTACCGAATTTCTACCGAAAGTTTGCGAAGCGAAATGCCTCCCATACTTCGCGGAATGAAATTAGCCAATAACTGAAATCCATCGATGGAAGTTATTGATCAACGACGAATATTGCATTCCGTAAATATGCTAAATAGGATGAAACGTCTGCCTTATATTTAGAAAAGGAAGCCACCAATAATTCAGTATATTGAATCTCTTATGGAAATTGGAATCTATACAGTGGTGCAGGTGTTTTATCAATATCGCCGGACCGAATTTAACCAGATCCAAGAAATAAATACAAAAACGTTCGTTATTTCTGACAGGGAACCTATGATGAAATTGGACCAATCCCATAGGACTTCGGCTGATAAAATAATACGGGATGATCTCGAGCGTTCTTTATATAAATAACTCAACATTTTTCAAAAGACGAACTCTTATTAGTAATTAATAAATTAAAAGTTGAAAATGGAAAGGCTTTTAGAAGCATTATAAAATAAAATCTTTGGAAAGGTATCCGCAAAAATTGAACCTAAATAGGAATCTATTTTACTCTGCATATATTAGATTTTCTTTCAATCATTTTTTATATTATTACACACTGTGCGCATTTTGTATTCACCTTCGAATTTCCTATAAATGCATCGAAATCCAACCGCTTCCAAAGTCCTTATACAATCCTCTTACCAATTATTACAAAATGGTAATTTCCAACAGTTTCTTCTTAATATTTTTTTTTTTTTTTGTAACTCTCCACCACTGTCGACTACCAATGCCTTATTTCGAATGGCACAGACACGTTGCAATACATGCAATAATACGTGGCCTCGGCCATTGGGAAAGTAATTTCAGAGAGCGGTGGTAACGCAAAACGCGAGATGGTGGCCTTAAGTCGCTGTTTCGCCACTACGTATACAGCAAATTATTTCGTTGCCATCACCGCGATGTTTATTGCACAACTGCACGCGGATTACTCTCAAATGAATTGTCGATCGAAACGCTCTTGCGCCACGCTACGCGTGTTCGTTGCGTTTCGCTCTACGCGTCCGATAATCGATGAATCGATTCGATGGGAACTCGATTTAAATATTCACCGTGGCGATGAATACTTCATGCGCCATTTTTTTCCAAACTTTTCCCATTTAATTGAGCCATGTGCATGGACGCTTGGCCGCTCCCAAACCCTCTGCGTTTTTTCGATATTTAAAAACGGTTGGGCATGAAGCATCCTGAAATTTAATGAACGCTGGCGACTAATTCCAACTTTGTTCTCGATCCTTGTAGTCTAAATCAAAGTACAGTCGATTGTAATTATTGCGTGACGAGCGATGAGTGAAATTTCCTTCTTAAAGCAATTAGTTCGCATGTAAATAAAGTTTCACCTGAAGAATAAGAAGACACACCTGAAGAATACAGATAGATGGAGCGATGAAGTTGTTCGATAAGACAGGGAAAATGGCGGGTGGAGTTTGTCGATGGTCACCATCTTAAATTGGCTCGAATAAAAGGAGGTGCCTGGGCGCCGTGCGATTGCACGAGGCACAGTCACTTTTATCAGGTTGTACAACCGGTCGATCGATAGGGATAAAGACCTTTAGTATTAACTGTATCCAGTGTACTCAACCTCGCAGATAAACTATATCAAACTGATCTGAATCAATCAAATCTGAATAGCTACAAAAAAAAAGATTACAAAATTCAGGGTTAAAGCGAACCTGACTCGGCTACTCTTCTTATATTGTCCTGGCACTCCAATCTCCATCTTCGGTGGTTAAATCGAAATCATAATTTCCCCTTTGAAATTGTTCACCTCTTGTCGTTCCACAGAGCTATCTTCTAAATTCGTCTCAACTTCAGTCGTTGTTCCTCTTCATCATCGCTGTTAAGTTTCAACGTTCGTTGCTTCTCGGTAAAACTTAAATACTCGGACGTCGATGGATGGAAATTTCATAGCACGGACCGTTTGGCGGAATTAAAGAGCGTAGGTATGTAAAACCAGCCTCGGTGGACAGGGTAAGACGCGAAAGCGGTTCTCGGCGGGCACGTCGTCTTCATGTTCAACTAATAACGCGGGAGGGCAAGGGAAATCGGCGTGGCTGGCCTTTTGCTCGGTTGTTTTGACCTGCGTTCTGTGGCCAGCGCATACCTAGCTGCATGAAACTCAACGTTGGCATAGCATCGCTGCAATAAAAGCCTAAGTGTCGTGTCCGTGCGCATGAAACGCCGTTTTCTTCATTCGATCTCCCCTGCAACTGAAACATCGCGTGCTCCAGCTTGATCATTTTAACGAATTAAAGATTTTATTTTTGTTAACGATGTTTTTATAGGAATGAAGGAATATCGGAAGCATCTTTTAAAACCTATCACGTGAACCATCCATTAACTTCCATACGATTTCCACTGTGTAACATAGAGAATTGATTTTCATCTATGTTTCAGTGTCTTTATTTTAAATGCACTTCTCTGCGATTAATTGTTATTCCATGTTTTAAAAAACAACGGCATAGAGTTTGTTTCTTTTTCTGGAGCAACGAAACACTTGTATTCGTTCAAGTTTCTGAACGTCACTCAATTCGTGCAGAATTCATTTATCCATCCTCTGAATTACCAATCATTGTCAATAAAACGCGGGTTATTTCCACTAGTCTCTTCCGAAAGTTTAATTATTTACAATTTCCGCCATTTTCTTGGTCCAATTTCCGTTACCGTATCAGCGAGCACGAACTTTCAGGACGAACGTTGCATCCTTCTTCCATTAATACGACGTCCGAATATAGTGGTCTGAATACCTAAACAAAAAACCTAAACGTCTCGATCAATTAGAATATTTTTCTATTATTATGTCGCGAAAAGGTCCGTGAGAGTCCGTATATTTCGTTCCTAATAAATATACATAGAAAAAAAAAGAATCAGAGAATATCGCTAAAAAATTAAACAAATTAATCGTGAAGATGAGACGTCACAGAAAATAAATCTGCATGAGACTCGTGATTTTCGGGAAATTGCAAAAATAAATACTAGTTTAAATTCAACAAAAATAAATTCCAATTATATAGAAAGAAATTGTTAGGTTCATATACATTGTCACGAGTAGTATGGCAGTTAACGTGTTAAGAGAATCAAGAGTTATCTCAAAAGTAATGCGTATACTAATTCATTGGATAACACGTGATAATATCTACATATATTTGATATTTTCTTCATATTTAACGCAATCTAAGAATGTATTTAATCACGATTAACGTTAAGAAAATGAAATTTAAAGGCACTCCAAAAAGTTGATCCAAAATGCTTGTCGAATTGACTCGTTCACTACTGCTCCAAAAAATGGCTTCAAAAAGTTTGTTGAATTTCCTGGTTCCCTACTGCTCCAAAAAGTTCCAAAAAGCTTTCGAACTTTCTGGTCCTCTACGATTTCAAAAGGCTGCTCCAAAATGCTTGTCGAACTTCCTCGCCCCCTACTGCTCTAAAAAACTGCACCAAGATGCTCATCCCCTACTGCTCCAAAAATTCACCTCCACGTTTCTCGAGGGCGCCCAACGCGAGAAACCTGAACGAAACGAAATACGATTTAGCCCGCGATCATGGCGCGAACTCCAAAGCTGGGTAAAGCGGACATCGCGTACACGGGTATCAAGTGTCCGTAGAAGCAGGACGAGAGGAGACAAGTTGGCAAGAACGACGATGGCGAAAAGAAGGCAAGAGAGAAGGACGAGTAACGGGGCAGCACGAGAAGGGAAAGGATCGTGGTGGGGGCCAAAAGGATATTCGTCGTAATTAAGTCCCTCCGCTCCTTCAACTCAATGCGGCACGTCTCTGCGAGGAGACGAGGAGCGTCTAGGTGCGCGAGAGAACGCGAGAGAGAAATGGCCAGGCCGCGGCGGGGCGGAAGGACGAAGAAGACGGAACATACGGGGCTACGCCGGGATGGAGGAAGAAACGTAGTGGGGGACGAGTAGCCAGGGAGAAAAAAAAAAGGAGGCACGACGATCGGGCAATAAATAATATAGGAGAAAAAGGCGATCGCCTGCAACATTCTGCTCAAATGTTAAATAGGTATCAATTTAACGCGGTCCAATCGGCGAGCTTGTGGGCGGGACGTAGAAGAAGGAGATTGGTCGATGGTACCGGTGGTAGGCGATGCCGCGCGATGGGGATTACGGGTCGCGGCTCGAGTCGTCGCAGAACCGTGGAAGGGATGAACCATCTGGTTTCCCTGGTTCCCTCACAACGTCCCGTCTCTCTCGTCGCGACCGACCTGGATTCCCGACACACGGATCGAGTTCCGTACGGGAACACTCACAGCCCTTTTGTGTACCACGTGAGCCACTCGTCGCTGGTCCGCCGCTGTCCAGTGCGCCCTTCGTCCTGTCATACCTCGTCGATTCCTAACCTTCCTTCGAGAACCGATCCGAGACCTGTCGCGGCCGCAGCTTCCGTCGAACAGCAGCGCCAGGAGGGGAAGCAACAGAGTTCCTCCAGTTTCGAGAGAGTGTCTCCGACCGGACGACGAACGTTCGATGTTGATCATTCGTCGAAGTGACAAGTGATACACGCAAACATTGGGAACCAGTGACCACGGTAGTGACTCAGTGTTTTGTATTATGACCAACGACGAGCGTTATCAGTGCCTCGCCAGTGAGGAAGAACGCGGGATTTAATTCGGCACTTAGGACTCAAGACGTTTGCGAACAACATGGCCGTCAGGCGAGCCAGAATACGCAGCGATTCGACTGTCGGATGAAAACTCGTTCTCTAGATCGCGAGCAGTTTCGGTATCGCGCTCGAAACTCCAATTTAGGTGTGTCGGTGAGATTCAACGATCGGTGTGGGGGGGCGACAGACGCGCAGAATGTGTTCGCGAGGTGGCGAACGATCGCAATAATCACACCCTTGAAAAGTATCAGGATCGATTAGGGAAGAGATAATGTCTGTTCACTGCGACAGCGACGTGGACGCGACGGAGGAGATCAATGTCGACGACTCCGACTCCGGGAGTTGCAGTCCCCATAATTACACCAACGACAATCGTCGTCTGCCGCAAGAGCACTCGGAGTGCTCGAATTCCCCGCCTCCCAGTCAGACCAGCTCGAGGATCTTGCAGAACGAATCGCCGAGGAGCCATCCGTTCAGTATTAGCCGTTTGCTGGGCGAGAATCGCTCGCAGAACCCGAAGAGCCCTTCCTCGGAGGATTTGGACAGCGATAAGGAAAGGAAGTGGTCTTGGGAAGAGGGTAACAATAACGGTGGCTTGTCGATGACCTTGGACGACGGCAGGAGGTCCTGGGGCCACGAGATCGAGGAGAAACTGTCCGAAAAGGACGACGACGACACAGGAAGTACTCCCGAGACCCAGACGAATTCTGTCTCGTCGGTCCACTGCTCCACCGCCGCGGACCTCTTGGCGCCCTTCAGACTTTTTCCAACCGGAACTGGTCTGATATACACCGGAGGCGGTGTAATAAGAGTTCCCGCGCATCGACCACCCGGTGCTAATGGCACGACGACTGGTGCACTCCCGGCACAGGCGTTGATACCGCCGTGGAGTTTGCAAGCTCTTCAACACAGCCAGCAGCAGGCGGCGGCGGCGGGTCTCCACAGGGCGAGCTTACTGGCGAACCTCGCCGCACATCCGCTTCAGGGACACCCACACCTGAAGGACAGGCTGGCAGGTAAGAGAATCGCGGGGATCCTGACACGTTCAACGAAATTTAAGGCTCCCAATGGGATACAAGGGAGATTGATGGTATTAACGTCCCGAAAGGCGGAAGCTCGGTGGGAACGATTCTCTGAAATCGTGATTAATGCTAAACCTACGTTTTATTCGTACCTATTAGAGGTGCCAGAAAGTACTTGTTTATTATTTATCAGCTCACTGTGCGCCAATTGATTTTTGTCGATCAGGTATTGAACATTTGCGCACTAGGTGGCAAGAGATTGTTGATAACGAGGACAGTATATAATTCGTTAAAAATAAGTGATATTAATTTATTTGTTTGAATTTAATGTAAAAGATACGACATTATTTTCTGGTCCCACTAATACTATTATGATTCAAATATTAACAACCATAAGACACTTACATTTAATTTTCTTCTGTATCACTCATTTCTACATTAACATTTACGACAGATTCTGTTCGAATACACGAACAACACAGCATTATATTCGATTCATAATACTACCAGCAATTAAACGAGTAAGAATAAGTCACGATCAAGTTATTGCTCGTTTAATAATCCAATGTTTCGTGAGATGGGTCAAATCTGGTGTTGTATCGTTCAATCATTTGTATAATACATCACCATTTACAAAAAATTCTGTTCGAATATACGAACAGTACAACATTTGTTTCGATGCATAATACTTCCGGTAATTAAACGAGTAAGGATAACTCACGATCAAGTTATTGCTCGTTTAATAATCCAACTGTCTCGAATCTGGTGTTGTATCGTTCGTGTATCCGAACAAAATTTCTATAATACATAACCGTACACAAAATTCTGTTCGAATATACGAACAGTAGAAGTTTACATTTGACCCCTTTCATGCAACATCCTCGAATCAAATATTTCCAGTAATCAAACTAACAACGATGATTCGCGATTAAATTATCCCTCGCTTAATTTTCAGCTAGAACGCTTCTTTTATCGGTCGCAACATAGTCCGTATACTTTTCCAAATCTCGGTTTAATTTGCGGCGCGTTAGCATTGCCTATTCGCCAAGTATTCTTGTAACAGTGATCGCTGCCATTAAATTTCGACATTACAGGCGAAACGAAATTGTGGGCATTATCGTAAATCGGTTAAACGCAAGGGGATGTCATTTTCTCTCCCGCAAAACACGATTCCCCGCTGGACCTTGATTCTCGTTCATCAACCGCATTTTCTGATTGTTGCAAACGCGTCATTATTCTCTAGTTACGTGAGTCACAGTCGGCCGCGGCGGAGAAATGACTTTGTTCGAATGGTACCGCGGTTATTTAAAAAATAATGCCATCCTTAATGTATGCAATAACGATTCCCGCGTGAATGGACATTTTTTTTTTCTCCGTCTTTGAGAGACGAAGAGTACGAACGCAGTCGATGACGGCGGAACGAATGGAAAAGACATTCGTTGGACTTCTGTTTTATGATATCCCCGATTAATTTACTCGTGCTCGAACTCGTATTTCTTCGGTTCATTCATCAGGTAATAGTTCTCGATAACGCGTTTATCAGTTCAGATAACGCCATTTCCACTGAAATTGCTAATTAGAATGCACGTCGTTCTGGGTACGAGTTTTACTCTGTAATAAACTGTACCTGTTCCATAGAAGACGGTTGGAAAATTAGAAGACAGGAATTTGAATAACGTTACCACGTCAAATTAAATTGATTCGTTAATTAACTCTCGGTTATTACGAAATAAATGTATTCTTATCCCGTCGCTGTTACAAATTACTTCCGGATAAACGTTTCCACGAGTTCGGTCTGATATTACAGGTTCTTTAAATGACCATCAAGGAAATGTCGATATCTTTAGTTTTATAGCGCTTTTATATTTGTATCATAAACAATTAGGTACACGCCGAACGCCCGTGCTTTTTCTTTTGAACGATTACAGTACAATTTTGCTTTGAATAACAAGATTTAAGGGCAATGTCGGTCGTTTAAAACATCTAGAAACATCCCTTAACCGTCAACCATACACGGCCATTCTGATTTCCTTTACACACCTGGCCGTGAATGCGCGTCGTTGCACCTGTGTTACGCTATCTACGGGCACAATTTACGTGTATAATTGTTATCAATGGGTACAACCGATCCGGATAATTCGTGCAATTAGGAAAATTGCCGGGCATTATTAATTCCCGCGATCTTCAGACCGAGGGAATGTGCTCCGCGAGTGTCGAAACGCGAACGTGCTCTGAGAGAGACAGGTTTTCAGAATCCGCGTCGTTGATTGGAATATGAGTTTCTCTAATTGGAATCGTGTATGACTAACGAAACGTTGATTGCTCTTCTTTAATTAAATATACTGCGGGGGAAACAGAACTGTCTCTCGTCGATAGCTAAGAGGTAGGGCTCAGAAAGGAAAGCAGGCTCCATCGAGGTACCAGTTATTCCTGCTGTCAATTTTTTCTCAACGTTGGGAATAGTATGATGAATTTAAATATTAAGTTTTCCCTCAAATTTCTCTCATTTTAGTAGTAAGTAGTACATGGACAATATTATATGTTTCATGTTTTCACTGAATTGCGCACGATCCATTTTACTCTATTACTGGGATAACATCAGCTTCCAAGAGATAAGGTTGTCTATTTATTATTTATTTACCTAACGTATCAACTTCCCACTGTATTTCCTACTGTATTCCTTCCAATTCCGCTTACCACTGGATACGAGCGAATTCGTTAAGCGGAGGTTACCGTCGAGACGCATAAAACATGCGTGAAGTTCTGGAATTTTTTTTTAATATAAAATAAATACTATTGGATATAGGTTTCAAAGTAATATATTCTTGTATAATTGAAAGTTAAATTTCAATTTTTTTTTTTAAGAAAAAAGTGTCCTGCGCTCTAAGAAAACTATTTCGAGAACAACTTCTAAAGTACCTTAGATATGAAAATATCCTTATACCTACGTGTTCTAAACACTTTAAGGATGCAAATTATATAAAAAAAATATCTAATTTTTCATCGTCATGAACGGTAACCTCCCCTTAAGGCGATATCCACCGTTTGGATCGAACAGTTGCTCCTTGCGACGTCGTGATCTCTCTCCGCGGCGTTCAAACGAATTCCGTCAGCATCTCCCGTTGCGCGTTCATCCAAACTCAATCATCGGTTTAACTAACATGTCTCATTAGCGGAAACGGTAGTTAGATAAAAGGCAACGGTTCGTTGGACGAGACTTGTTCCGAGCCGATAGTGTTTTCAGCAAAGCCACCGGCTATCTGCGACGAGAAGGGAGAAAAACGAGAGGGTTTATCGAGCGAACCGGAGGAACGTGAGGACTTCAACTTGTCCGCACGCCATTAAAATGTCACAGCGGCGACCGCGTTTCGCGCACACTTACCTACACGTATGTACGCCCCGGTGCGCAAGTGTCTTCGACATATTCGGTCCTAGCTTGATCGCGACGACAGCACGCTTGAATTATTTCCCAGCAATTCATAATTGATGTCGTCTATGTGCCGATTGTTACCCAACGCGACGTCCTAACGACCAGCGTTAGCCATAAGATTCCCGACTTTGGACAAAAGTTTTCCTAAAAAGAGCTTTAGGATTTTGTTGTTTGATAACAAAGGGACGCTGGGGCTCCCCAGGATTTACATTCGTTGCCAATAAATTGGGTGGGTAATTCTATGCTTTTCTGAAGTAAACTTATTAATTACAGCTGTAAAAATCGGTCCATAAATAAGAATTTTCGAAAATAGCGACCCCAGCTCCACCTGGAGGGTTTAACAAAAACAAAACAATCCGGAACACCACACGAACATATGGTGTGAATACAAGCTGGTTTTTATACAGGGTGTACCAAAACTGTTGGAGGTCCTTGAGAGAAGTGGTTCGGAGGGTGATTTGAAACAACTTTTTCCTTAATGAAAATGTTGTCCGAGGCTTCGTTAAGGAGATATTAACAGAAAACCCCGATCAATCAAAGCGTGCGTATACCGTTGGAGCGCCCGCGGTGCGTAGGCTACACAGCCGCAGTAGCATAGGCTACGCGGTAGACAGACACAGTAGCATAGGCTACGCTCTAGGCAGCCACAGTAAAGGTCGATTTAGACTATACGACACGGACCGTCACGTTCCGGCAACGACACGTACCGGCACCGACACGACAAAATATTAAAACACGCGTTTTAATGGAACTATTCACACTATTCCCGTTGACGGAACGTTCAGGTCGGTGCCGATACGTGTCGTTGCCGGTCCGTGTCGTATAGTCTGAATCGACCGTAACAGACTACGCGCTAGACAGCCGCAGTAGCATAGGCTCCGCGCTATACAGACACAGTAACAGGCTCCGCGCTAGGCAGCCGCAGTAGCATAGGCTACGCGCTCGGCGGCCGCGCTCTGATTGGTCGAGGTTTTCTGCTAATATCTTCTCAACGAAACCTCGGACAACATTTTCGCTAAGAAAAAAGTTGTTTCAAATCACCCCCCCTCCCTCTCCGAACCACCTCTTTCAAAGACACACGTATCAAAAGTCGTAAAAATACAATATCGAAACAAGTCATCACTAGTTTTATTACTACGAAGTGCTCGAAGCAACAAAATGGTAAATCTATTTAAACTACAGTTGTAAATAATTAAACGTTAAGCTAACAGAATTATTCTCGCCTAGTAACTGTCAAGTATATCTGTAATCTCTTAGAATATAAGCAATTGGCTGTTGAACTTGGTGTGTATAGAAATCTATTCTAATATCCATTAGGACTTACGTTATGTATTAGGTTGTCCCAAAAGTTTCTTTCGCGACTCGCACTCAGTCGCCTTGCATGGACAGTGTTCATATAAATAGAAAACAGACGCAAAAGAATTTCCAAAGAATGACCCGAAACACAGTCGAAACGAATGAAAAGATATGCTTGAAACGTGCTCGCTCGAACTGTATAAGGAAATAATTAAATAATAGTTCGATTCCCAGTTAAAAGCGCAACATTGGATGGAATTACCGCGTG